AAAAGAGAGGAGACAAATGAGTGTGTGATTGGTCAAGACACCACAGCTGAATGAATTTACAGACTAGAAGTTCACACAGATCTGCAAGGAGACCTACCTCAGGTCTGACTGCGGGATAAGCACGTGGCCCATGGACAACATGCCGAGACCGCCCAACTCTTTGGGAGTGTAGAAGACCACGGGAGGGAAGCGGCTAGGCATTTTGGAGTTCAGACCGATCTTAATACGTGTCTGAATCTTGTTCTCACACTTCACCAGCAGGTCCAGTAGCTCCTGTGTATTTACCACAGCCTCACGGAAGTAGGTCATCAGACCAATCAGAGCTGTGTTCCACTTATTCACAATCTGAAGATTAAAAATAGAGAAAGTAGTAAGTTTTCCTTGATCTAAATGCAGCTATAAAAGGATCAATGAATGTAACAATAATACTCTAGTTTATAAAAAGCAAGATCTCTGTTAACCTTGGTGAATGTGGTGGATCCAGAGGCCATCAGGATCTGACGCACTCTGTTGTGAAAACGCTGCATTGACTCATCATCCACCCGCAGGAAACACTGTGCTGTCCTCTCTTTGGTCACCTGAACAAATAAATACAAATGTGAACTTCAAGCCCATTTAATCAAAAAAGGGAAAGTCTCTTTAATTTGTTTTCCAGACACTCTAGCAGCAGGTTTGTTAGCATTATAAATTTCACCTCATTCTGCAGGTTCCAGACACCATCCTTGTGAGTGAACTCCTCATAGCTGGTGCGACACTTGGGAAGGATGCGGCACTCAAACCCACACATGTTGAAGAGCAGGTTGGGGTTGTCTTTGCTGTACACGGACACAAAGCTGTTCTCCCACTGGACTGTGGTCACAGACCTGGGCAGGCGATTCTTGATGTCCCAGAACACTGCACGCCCACTGGGAAGATTATTTGGCAAGTTCAAGCCATTTTTTATAAAGTCTAATTTTCGTTATGTGCAATATTCAACAAAGATTAGATCTACATAACAATAATCTACAAGCTTAAGAGTGAAAGGTTGAAAGAAAAACTCACAGATTCACATCATGCTTCATCAGCCTCATCCGGGCATCACGAGGCCAGCACTTCTTATTGTTGTAACCCACAATGTTCTCGTTGTTGGGGTCCGGGTGCTCTGTCAGATACCTCTGAATCAGGTCCCTGGCCTCATCAGCAGAGAATCTAGAGCCACAAAAACAGTGACATCACTTAAATGTGTAAAAACAAACAAGTGAGAAAATGTCATCTTATCACTTAGTGCAATCCTACCTGAAGAAGATGTGGATGCGGTCGATGTAGCGGCAGTACAGTCGGATTGGGTGAGCGCTCTCCGTGGCAGTGTCTTGAAAACTGAGGAAGTCGTTGGGCATCTGAGGGGGACCAGCCATCTCACTGGCACGGTGCAGGCCGAGAACCAGGAGGTCCATCACCAGACCGTAGTACTGCACGATGAACGAGGCAAACTGGAGACCCCTGATGATGCCGTAAGAGTTGGTGTGGTTCATGTCCTATGTGAGAGGAATAAAGATGTAGAGAAACACTCAAAAAATAAATAAATCTAATCAGTTATCTTTAAAACTCCTATATGAAAAGAAATAAGCACCCTTACCTTGTAGTTGATGACCACGTTGTTCTTGGCTGTCATGTAATCAGCAATGTTGTGGTCAACGATAAGACGCAGCAGCCTGTTGAGCAATGTCAGATCAATCTTCTCGTACATCTTCTCATAGCGGGACTCGAGCATCACGTTGCACTCTCCTTCTCCAGTCTCCCACACGTCCTGCAAGTTGTTGATGCCTGAATAGAATAAAGGAGCATTTAAATAAAGCTGAAAATGTCATCACATTTGCCCACAATGTTATTCAAACTGAGATTATATTATATTCTGGATCCTTTCTGAGATACTACACAACACAATCAGCTATATTCGAGCCTTACCTTGGCACCACTTGTAGACCAGCAGCGGTGGTGGTTCTGTATCAGCAGGTTTGATCCAGGGTGGGAACAGGCGTCTCTTGTCTGCTTCATACCACAGGTACTGGTCCAGGTAGGCATCAGTTATCTTCTCCAGGGGCTCCACATCATACACTGGCACCAGGTGGCTGTACAAGTCCATGAACTCGATACCCACCTGCAAAAGAAGTAGTCACTTAGAAACTAACAAACGGATGTGATGAGAAGAAAGACTTTTACAGAGAAACTCAAGGCTGTAACAGAAATCAATTCTTCTGGTGGTTTCCCAAAACGATATCCCAGTAACTATGCATCTACACAGAAGCTAGGAAATACTGCCTCACATTTATGTTACTTATGTTTGTAAACTGACCAGTGAAACAAAAAATAAATTGGAGCAATACATTTTCTTCTAGTGTTCTTGTCTACTGTTTAAAGCCAGAAACATCCCTGCTAACTAAATGAAACTCTTAGAAAGTATCCACACATCTTCTCCCTGACCTCTTTGAAGGCTCTCTGTGTTAGCAGGTGACGCTTGATCCTGGAAAGAGCCTCGTGAGGGTTGTCGTAGGCCTGCTCTATGAGCCCGAGCTCCTCCCTCTGACTCTGGTTCAGACGAGACTTCACGCTGGAAGGATTTAGAGTGGACATGGAAACAAATTAATAATAAACAAAACATACTCTGGCAATTCTGCTGCCTGATGTGAGAAAATATGCATCGCTAAAGTTAAAGGCAATGTTCTCAGCTTGCTTACCTGTATGCTTCTTTGAGCCTCTCCAGCGCCAGGATGAGCAGCTTGGTGTCATGTTTGTAAGACAGTGGGGGGAACGGGATTGGTGAGAAGCGCCGACTCTCCAGCCAGTGCACAGTGGTGGTGTAAATGGCCACGGCCTCTTCTGCAGTGATGTAGGGACCATCCTGTAAACAGAATACACACACTTTCAATTATATGGCAAAAAACTAAAGGATGCAGCCATTTTTACCTTTGATACAGAGATACAATGAGACCTGTTTTCATATATTATAACATCATGTAATAATCAGAAAAGTGTCTGAATAGCAAAGGGCCAGTGGCAAACGCAACCAGCAATCAAAGAACCACTATTCACTTTAATATTCCTCCAGTTCTTACGCACAGGCAGGCAGTCCAATGCAAGTGCGCCTTTGTAGGAGGACAACAATCATCATTAAATGCGTTGACAATGCAGGGACTTTACTAGAGTTCTTTTTTTAAGATTTCTTCTTAGAGTATTACCTTCAGGTAGTTGTGCTGTCTCTCCTGTTCAGCTTTCAGGTACAGACGGGTCAGTCTGCCCAGGTTTTTCTTGCACACCGTCTTATCCACAGTGGCTCCGCGACGGATTCGCTCACGGTTGTAGTGGGCTGTGTTGGTCCACCAGTCAGCTTTGGCCTTCACGTATCGCAGAATCATGTTCTCAATAGGAGTAGGCAATCCAGGTACCTAAAGTGAAAGAAAAAGATAACATTAGATATTTTCTTCTCACTTAAATTCTAATTTTTAACGATGTTTGTAGTATCTTTGTGAAGTTGTTCCAATATCTAATCAGTGCTTTCAATACTGTTCCCTTTATTATCCAATTACCTGATATTTTATTCATGTTACCAAGAATTTCACAAATCCTTGTTTTTCAAACCGCAGGCCATCCATTCAAACGTAACAAGACACTCAAATGTCAAAAAATTCCTGAGGAGACCTGACCTTCCATGGGATGTTTGCTTTCCAGCACCTCCAGGACTCGCTGAGGTGCTGCAGGATGGTTCTGGCCTTGTTCTGTTTGATCCCCTCAGGCATCATGTCCAAGATGTCATGCATCACAGCCGCACGCAACTCCAGGTCAAAGTGAGACTCCACACGCTGTTTGGTCACAGTCTTTGCAACACCCTTCGAGTGACGTCCTGCAGAGGAAATCAAAGCAAAATCGCCGCCGCTACTGAAACTGCTACGGTTTCCCTCAGAGAATAACTCTGACTGTATCAGAGAATCACACAAGTAAAATATGTATGTTCAGACCTTCAAACTGTCTGGCCAGCAGATTTCCGAGCCACCGCTCCAACAGGGGGGTGATGCCCCTCATGAAGAACAGCCACACCCTCCAACCAGGGGCCCAGAAGCCACAACCTGGACCCTTGCCCACAGGACCCTGAAAACACAGACAAGATTAAAACTTGAATGTGATTGTGGAAAAATATTTATACAGAAAACAGCTTCACCGTAAGTGTGCAAATTGTTAACATTGGGCAATTACTCACGGTATTGAAACGGTAGTAGATGAGATGCTTCAGGTCTTTGCACATCCGGATTTGTCTCATCAGCTTGTACTTGTACCGGTACATGCCTGTGAGCTGACCCACATGAGCGAAGATGTACTGCAGTCCGTCAGCCAACTGCAACACAGAAACACACCTTTGAGGTTGGTCACGTGTGCAAATCAACACATAAAAATAACTACTGAAAAGGAAATTCAAATAAAATCATGTTTTAATCTTATGAACATGAAAAAGATTCCCCAAAATCCTTTATCAATACAAAAGATACATCCTTGCATTTTATACTGCTTTTCATTAAAGAGCGCTTTTACCGCTACCCTATGAAAGCAACGCCTGGCCAATTTCCACTTCACAACTAACCTGGAAGGCATCAACATTTCCCAGTCTGTACTGCACGTGGCTGTCAACCACCAGCTTGCTTAGACGGAGAACCTCTCTGCACAGATGAAAGGCATTGCCGAATCGCGACTTCTTTCTCTCCTGAAGGAGGCAAAAAACAGTCATAGGTCAGCAATGGTCAAACGAAGTGCACTTCATACTAGAATACAGTCAGACACTTAACAAAAACAAAATGTGGAGTTAGATCCTGCTCTGCAGATTGTACCTTTGTGGTCAGTGTCTTGACAGGCTTCAGGTTGAAGTTGTAGTCCAGATGCAGGTAGTTGAGGTTCTTACGATGGATGAGCAGATTGAGCATGTTGTAGCCCTGTCTGCAAACCTGCAGGCCAACCTCCACCCAATCCAGCTTTGTGGACTGGAAGAACTTTGTGGCCTTAAAGGAGCGGAATAGGTATCTACAAGACAACAGAGGGATAACTTTTACAGATGAACTTGGATAATGAGCAAAATAAATAAAGGTTTAATTAAAAATGCACGAAAGCAGGATATCAAAATAAATCCAAGGATGCACACCTCTTCTTCTGGGCCTTGGGTGGTCTGTGTTTGAGAGCATTGAGCACGTAGTACTTCAGCAGTTTCTGGTATGACACACGTACTTTCACTGGCTGTCCAGCAGGGCAATGCTCGCGGTACCTATAAAATATTTTAGCAACATATGTTTAATACTTATCAGACTTCTTTTTTTTTTTTTTTTTTAACCCTAATACAAAACAAAATCTTCCACACAGCCAACATCTCTTCAAACAGTAAAGTACTTCAGATTTACTCCTGTCCTAACAGCTTCACAGATTGCTCACCAGTTCTTGATCAGGGGGATATCGATGGCACGTCTTGTTCGGCCAGATCTGAGGTTGAAGGGTCTCGGCGCCCACAGGAGAGCAATGCCATTGGCTGTGTTGTCTGTGTAGAGTGGGGTTTCTTTGAGGAAGGGTTCCACAAACTCAGCAAGCTCAAACTCCTCATCATCATCTGGCAGAGGCTCCTGACTCTGAGAGGTCACAGGAAAAACAATGAATCACTTTTAAGGGCAGAAGGGCTGGAATTCAACAGACTATAAAATAACTAGAAGAGTTATCTGAATGGTGAAAGGTGATCTGCAGCTGCAGCCAATAATAACAAGTCACCATTCATTTTACTATTCCTCCAGTTCTTACGCACAGGCAAGCAGTCCAATGCAAGTGCGCCTTTGTAAGAGGACTTTGATGCGGGGTGTTATTCACCAAAGGGAGACAAGTAGATAATGTGCAACACTTACCTTAACAGAATGTCTGTGTGAAATGGGGTTGATCAGTGGGTCAAAGTAAAATGCAGGAAGATCGGGGTCTTCTGTTTTGATAAAAACCACATTTGGTGTGTGGTACCTAGGAAAAAAAACAAAAACGTCACAAGTGTTGCTTTTATATAGCCATTATGAAAAATAAAACAAATCTATGACGTTTATAAGCGATGAATGTCTCTTCTGTCTTGAATGAAAAAGGATTTTTCAGTCAGCCGGTATTTCAAGTAAACAGCAGTTCTTACCAGGTGAGGTGGACGTGGTGGGGCAAATTGTTGTACAGGTAGGGGAAGGCGATTTTGTACTCTGTCCTGATGGGCTGTCGGATGATGATTTTGTTGATGTCGTTGAACTCGTTCCAGTCTTCATCCCTACAGAGGATACAGAGGAACCAGTTAGGACACAAAAACGCCAGCTTCTATTTTCACATTATGTTTGGAATCAAACAGCAATATCAAACAATTACAAGAAACATTTAAATTCTGCACTTTATTAACATTAATAACAATAAGTCTTTAGAATATTCATTTTATAAAAGGGCAAAAGAACATACTGGAGGTTGATGTCTCTGACCAACGGCTCAAACTTTGGTCCTCCAGGGATGGCCATGTTTAAAGCCTTGGACGTGAAGAAAGCCTTCAGGTCAAAGAGGTAAAAGTAGTTTCTATCAACCAGATCTGTCAGAAGCTGATTGGCCAGACGGTACAGTGTGGACATCATGGGCAGTGTGAACTGCCAACGACGATAGGTGGTCCCATTCACAAACCTGAGCAAGACAAAGATAAATCATCAATTAATGTTTTAAGCAACATATCAGTTGAATATGTAAACCTGTCTGTGAAGAGAGCCATGGCTGCTTACTTGGCTGTGTCCTTGAGGGGCTGATGTTCATAGAACCAGTCCACAACTGAAGCATCTTCCTCTGGATCAAGCTCCATCTGAATGGCCTCCAAGGGTTCCACATCAAGAATATTGTCAGCGTAGTCCAGTGGCGGCTCCTCATCATCAAAGGGTGGAAAGCGCATTCTTTTGAAGTGCCGACGATCTCTTTTCTCACGACGCATCATGATCCACATGGTGCTGGGATTAAAATCGGGAAAGAGATAAATTTACATTTTATTGAATGGAAATGATCACATTTGGCTTGAAAGTTTTCAGCAGTAGAAACTCTCCCTTACCCCCACTGTGAAATGTAGACTGGCTCAATGACCCAAGGGATTTCATTGACAAATGAAATGGCTCCAGTGATGTGATAAAGCACGGGCACATCTCGAATCTGTTCCCAAGGCATCGGCATGTTTTCCAACAGCTTCAGCACTGCATGGGGCATGTACTTGAGGGCACTGTTCAACAAACAGACACAGAACAAGCATATGAAGATTTTATCAAGAAGTAAAAAAAAACACCGACTTTTGTTAAGACTTTTAAAAAGGGATAAAGGAGTCATCTTTACCCAAGGTAGACCCTCTTGTCATGGCGAAACTTTCTATTGGTCATGTCTCCATGGTCCCTGATGATCTTGCGGACATGTTCAGGTGGCATATCTTCCTTCTGAGCATCCACAAAGCCAAACTTTCTCTTTTCTGAGTAGCGCTTTGCCTGTAACTGCTGCCATTTTCTTGCTGTAGAGTTGAAAGACATTTAATAATCGCAAAGTTAATCTTGTCCATTTGTGACAACATCTTCGCTAAAAGCTCAAACGGAAGTCCCGCTTTTTTTTTTTTTTTTTTTTTTTTTTTTTTTTTTTTTTTTTTCTTTGTTAGTGGATACAAACAACATACCCTTCTCTTGTAATTTCTCCTCAGACATGTAGTCTGGGACAGGTGCAGGAAGGGACACACCAGGCGGCACAGCAGTTGGTACCCCTGGTGGCACACCGGGTGGCATCGCTGCAGGGACCCCTCTGTAAGGAAAGGCAGCTGCCATGGTGCCTCACTATCCAAAACAAAGACAAAAACCAAGGTATTAAAATAAGTGAGGTTTTTGATTATAACTGTATATAATCTAAACCCTGAGGAGAGAGGCGTTACATGTCAAAAAACCCAAATTACATTTAATTTAACTGAAACAAAAAACTGATCAGAAACATATTACACTGGCACATGAATTCCTTGTCTGGCTCCTGCAACCCACAGATTAAATAACAGAAGCCACAAAGTGAACGCGTGTGCTTAATACCTTGCAAAGTCTAGAAAATAGAATGGCCTTGGACATAAACGCCTTTCAAAAATAAAAACTAGCTTCTTAATTCGGTAGAAAATGCATTTATTTCACATTAACTCATCTGTGTAGCTTCAACATCTTCGTGCTCACAGTTGATGAGCTAGCTAGGTTAGCCTAACATGGCCTCCCGGATGGCACAAAACTGCAACAGCAAGGCGAACTTTGCCCGCGTTTAACTGTTGTTAGCTCGTCCAGAAACAGCGTAAACTCGGGATATCATTCATAAATGGCTACATTATGTTACATGTAACACATTGTCCTTCACGCCGCAGCACCTGTTATTAATTAGGCCAAGCGTGGAGGAAGCGGCAACTTAGCCAACTGCTAAAGCTAGCACGGTGGCTAACGATTGGGTGAGAGGTAAAATTAAGCAATAACAGAATGCATTCAACAACACGTACCTCGCTTACTTCACTCCCACTGTTTCTTATCGTTGGATAAAGCCTTAACCCGCACACAGTCAGCTAGTACAACATTTCTTTCTTATTCTCCGTGTTTTCCGCCTCAGTGTTGGGTTGATGTGCGCTAACACAAAACTGCATAGACGCACGACGGCGGACACACGATGAACGAGCTTCAGTAGTATTCACAGACGGCGGTTACGTCCGATATTTCTCTACCCCGGTAAAGAATCTGCTTTACGCCAGTAAATATGCGTAGAAGTTAAACAAGCGCAATTTTTTGCGAATACCCGTATGATCCCGTTTCCGGTGCACTACTGCCCCCTGCAGTGTTGGAGTGCGATCCTGTAAAGTTTGTTGCTTAAACAAAAGCATGATTTGCTGATTTGTTGTATTATTTAATCACATTCCAAATATTTCATTACAGTTATTTGCTTCTTGTTTTATTTCTGACCTGAAGTCATTTATTTCTTTCGTCATTTCTCTTCCGTCCTTTGTACTCCTCTCTAGGGACTACAAACACAAATGTAAATCTCCAAAAGTTGATTCTGTTAAACTGGACGTAGCGTTTTAGTGGGCTGAACGTTTCAGTCATCTATGCCAAGTACTGTTTAAGTATGGAAACCTGCAGTCAGCTGAGACTGAAGAAGTTACTTGGATGAGTGACGAAACGTTTCTCCCAAAAACGCTACGTCCAGATGAACAGAATCAACTTTTGGAGATTTACTTTCCTGGATGATTGCGAATGCATCAAGACAAATGTGAATTGCTTTGCCGCCACCCCCGCCAAAAAAAGCCGGTCACGACAGATAAACAATGACGCCTTTATTGTGAAAAGACCACACCGGAAGAACGGCCGGACGTGACCCCACTGTCGTCTTTCACACCAGTACACTGACTGATTTTTACACCATTTGAATTTAGTTTTTGTAATTTTGACAGCTTCTCGGAAGAAATGGCGACCAGTGAGGACGTGCGGGAAAATGTGAAGGTACTCTAGTCCTGAGTGTCGCCCAGACACTGCTCAGCTTTCTGTTCATTCACAGTTTATGGACATTTTTTTTTATTTTGTCCACAGTTATTCGAGCATTGCAGAATAGTTGCTCGGGCGTGATTAATTTATAACCAGTGGAATTTCTTTTGATTTTAATACGTTTCTTTTCAGGTTATTTTATGTATTCTGCAAAAGAAAGGTTTGCGGTGTCCACTTTGCTGTACGTTGTCTTAATAAACGTGCATGAGGACAGCTGTTAATGTGGCTGTGCAGAAATACTACGGCAAGCGGCTGGAGTCCTCGGGTGATCTGCAGACAGGTGCCGCCTCCTGCGGATCGTCCTGCAGACCAGCGCCCAGAAGTGTTACCGAAGCTCTGAGTGAGGTTCACCCCGAGGTGACCAAAAGGTGAAATCTCGCTTTGGAATCATAAGCAATTAAAGGTGTTTTTATTCTTACCAGATATCAGCAGTGAAAAAAACACAAATATGAATTTTTCCAAACTTCATTTAAGAAAAGCAAGGCCAAACACCATCACAATCACAAACTTTAGACATCTTACTACCAGACACCACATCTTTCCATAGATTTTCTTCCACTTATCCTGATCTTTTCACTTTTGCTCAGGCTGGAAGCATTTGGTCAGCTGACATGGAATAGACCCAGACAATCAGATTTTTGAGATTCCCACTTATGGGATCATTCTGTACTGCCTGATTAGAGACAACAGGTTTTCCTGTAATGACTGGTGTTATTGGCTCTCTTCAGGTTCTTCGGCTGTGGTCTTCCATTTCCAGCAAAGCTCGAGGGCTGCAGAGTCCTGGATCTCGGCAGTGGCTCCGGCAGAGACTGCTATGCTTTTAGTAAACTGGTTGGGCCGAATGGACACGTGACTGGGATCGACATGACACAGGAGCTGGTAATTACAGGTTTCTGCACAGATGGCACTTTGATGTCTGCCCCTTCCTGATGTAGTTAATTCATGTTCTTTTAGATCACAGCAGCTCGTCAGTATGTTCAGTATCATCAAGATAAGTTTGGCTATAAGGAGCCCAACGTCACATTTGTCCAGGGCTACATGGAGAACCTCAACGAAGCTGGCATTGGCATAGAGCACTCTTTGTAGGACTGGACCTCAACGATGGCATGGTGACCCTGGATGTAGTGATGTAGGTTTAAATGATGTAGTTGTGTTGGGTGTCAGGTGAAAAAAAGGAGCTTTAATTTGGTTGTTAAAGTTTTTTCCCCTCTTTGTAATCTCTTCAGATCCAACTGTGTGATCTGTCTATGTGCTGATAAAAGAGCGGTGCTGCAGCAAGCCTACAACGTCTTGAAGGTTACCCTGACGAATCATCATTAACACAAATAAATGTTAACATGTTGTCACACACACACAAAGAAATATAGGAATACAAGGTGCACTCACTTATTTCATACAGGAGGGAGGTGAGCTTTACTTCAGTGATATGTTTGCCAGTAAGATCATCCCTGATCACATGAAGCAAGACGCAGTCCTGTGGGGTAAAACAAACACTACTTCTAAATCCAGTTAATTCAAAGCCAACCATCTCTGCCATCACCGACAACTCTTCAGTCCCCGTCTCCTCTGACTTAGGTGAGGGGATGGGCGGCTCTCTGTTTTGGCCCGATCTAATCTCATTGGCCCACAGCATGGGTTTCAGCTCTCCACACCTCATCTCAGCGAGCCACATTGTGGTCTACAACAGTGAGCTCAAAGCAAAAGCAGGTAACAAAGAGGCACATTTTCAGACAGCATTCACTCTGATTTCACAACTGAGCAAGCTCTTCATTTTGTAGGCGACATCAGTTATGCTTCAGGCACTTACAGGCTCTTTAAGCTGCCCAGAAGTCCAGCGATGTCAAACGCTACTGTGACCTATAAAGGGACGTTGGCAGAATTCCCAGATCAGCTGGACTTTGATTCCTCCCACTGCTTCAAGGTATAAAAGGCACCCTTTCTCTTATCAGCATGTACGCAGAGACATTTATTAACCTGCTTTTATTCTAAAAACACAGGTGATAATTAGTCTGGAAGTGTTATGGTTTTTAATTTCAGAAAAAAGACATATATATCCAATTAAACTCTTTTCCTCTTACACAGAAAGACGTAGCAGTGCAGGTAAACGGAGAGATGGCAGCAGTCCTCCAGAGTTCCCGTTTCTCCTCAGACTTTAAAATCCAGATGTTGGATAAACAGGAGTCCAAGTCTGAGACAACGCCAGAGGTATCCAACACCACAAGTTCACTGTGGCTAAAATGCTTTTAAATTTTAACTTTTTACCCCTTGAGAGCGAACTAAGAAAAACTCTTGAAGCTCTTTTCTGAGCTGAGCGGTCGTCAAATCACGTTTTTAGTGATATTGACTGAGATGTCAGAACGATTATTAAAGGTACAGGTTGTTAATTGGTGTTTTGATATGGGAAAGAGTTAACGCTTCAGCGTGCTTAAGTTATGATATTAACATAGTTTTATCTTCTCAGTATTGCCACCTCAACCCATTTCTGCTGGCTGACAAACTGGGATCCTCCGTGAAGCAGTGCTCTAAAACAAGCAAATGAAGAGGCAAGTGACTGATCTGAAGGCTTAACAGAAATGTTATTTTTGAATTTTGGCTTTATGAAGACATAATTTTACTAACTAATGGGGAATCTTGTAGATAATCTCACAGATCGTGGCCAGTGACGTGTCTCCATATTTCATATTTAGACATAAAATGTATTTTTGTAGAAAACAAGTATGTTTCTCTGTAACACTATCAACTCAGAGTTTGAGCTTCTTTATGCTGATGTCATAATTACCATGTGAACAACAACATTTACAGAAGTGGAAATAAAAATACTTAATGACATAATAACCAGTGTTTAATATTTGACATGGAATTTTACAACAGCATAATAAAACGACTGCATTATAGGGGATTTAAACAGCAACATTCAGGTACTGAAGTGGATGCATGACGAGCAGCTGCTGACAGTGTTAAATACGAAATGACGTAAACATTCAGGGCTGTTGAAACAGAAAAGTGTCGCACATGTTTAACATCTTTACCACCATAAAGGAGTTGTTTATTTTAAGGAACTAAAACATGTTTAAAGATGCCGCACACTTTCTCATATCATAAGGAATACATGAGCTACAACTCTGTTGTATAATGTATTAAGGCACTACAGTACACATAAAGAAAAGAGGTCAAAAACAAACTTTTTATCTTATTTATCTTTCATGGGCAGTATTTTAAAGTGTTTTGTAAATGTAAATGTTGTATTCTCATGTGAAGTGTAGTGACGTGTGTGTTTAAGAAGTTTTGAGTGTATAGTATGAAATGAAAGACATTTAAGTAACTGAGAAATTTGATAAAGTCTTAACATTTTCAGCTCATAAAAACATCTAAATGCACTCAGTGGCCACTTTGTTAGGTACACCTGCTCAACTGTACAAATATTGAATCATCCAATCACATCACAGCAGCTGGTTATCTCTTGATGTTCAAACTTAGTGTCTGAATGTGAAAGAAAGCTGCTTTAAGTGACTTTGAATGTGATGAGATTGTTGGTGCCAAACTGGCTGGTCTGAGTATTTCAGAAGCTGCTGATCTGCTGGGATTTTCCCACATAGAAATCTCGAGGGTTTACAGAGAACGGTCTAAAAAAAGAGAACATATCCAGTGAGTACTCAGCGTAAAAATGCCTCGTTCATGTTGGAAGAGAATGACCAGACAGCTTCAATCTGAAGCTGAAGGTAACAGTAACAAATAACCATTGGTTACAATCAAGATATCTAGAAAAGCATCTCTGGGAGCACAGTATCTCAAACCCTGATGCAGATGGGCTACAGCAGCAGAGGACCACACTGGGTGGCACTCCTGTCAGCTGAGAAAAGGAAACTGAAGCTTCAGTTTACACGGCTCATCAAAAATGGACAAGAGAATGTAAAATGTTGCCTGGTCTGATGATTTCTGTTGCGAGGTTTAGATGGGTCAGAATTTAGCGTAAACAACATGAAAGCGCAGATCCCTCATGTCTTGTCCCAGGGATTCAGGCTGCTGGTGGAGTAGATGTGTGGGGGATTTTTCTTGTCACAATTTAATGTTGCCTGCTAACCTTAACTACAGACTGTACCTTCCTAAGACATCACACCTTTAGTAAAGCAACCAGAAAAACATAAAAATAAACTAATTAAAGAGATCAGTGTGCACAAAGAGAGAATTCAATAAAGCTGTGACTGCTACTATAGTAACAGGGCTCTTTAATAAGAGCAGATAAGAGAGGCTGGCTGGTTTCCAGGCAGCCTGAGGCAGAAAGTGGATTAATTGATGTCATGTCAGACAGAAGGAGAGAAAACCAAAGCAAGAGATGACATCACTCATCGCTGAGAGGCGTAAATCCTGGTTATATCTGCAGCCAGCTCAGGTCTTCAGCTCTGAACAGAAGAGAAGAGGAGAAAACAAAAATTAAACACTGAGCAGCTTTCACGTTATAAGCTAGTGGCTTGGTTTATTATTTTTAAAACATGAACTAAGGTTGGTTTTGGTAGCATACAGTAGTGGTTAAAACTGCTATAAATAACAGTTGTCATCAAATTTTACTTTAAGTATTTTTCATGTTTTAGATTGCAGGTTGTTTTAGCATAAACACTCCAATAATACACTTCTCACTTCCTGCATAATACCATGTGGCAGACAGATGCCATAAGCAGCTAACCTATAAATCATACTGAAGAATTTAGCATCTGAAGGACCAGATGTTCCTCTGAGAATTTAGTGGAAAGCAAACAGAGGCACCAGTGGATTTCAACATGACACATAAATGACAGACAATGTCGTCCCGTATGTCCTGCATAGGGTTTGTCTTTAGTCTGTAAAGAAAAGGATATAACTTCCAAGGCTAAAAAGTGACGCCAATGCAGAAGCTGCAGTTTTTCTAGTGACCAGCAGGGGGCAATGCATATGGCTTCTGATCATACAGAAGTCAATGTCACTCCCATCAGTTAGATGGGAGATTAGATGCTCGAACATTTAATTTTAAGTAACTGGAAAGCAGCATGGTTCAATTCAATTTTATTTATATGGTGCCAAATCACAGCAAAAATATAAATATATAATATATATATATATATATATATATATATTTTTATTATTATATATATATAATATATTATATATATATATATATATATATATATATATATATATATATATATTCTTTTGCTGTGATTTGGCACCATATATTGATCAGAAGCCATATGCATTGCCCCCTGCTGGTCACTAGAAAAACTGCAGCTTCTGCATTGGCGTCACTTTTTAGCCTTGGAAGTTATATCCTTTTCTTTACAGACTAAAGACAAACCCTATGCAGGACATACGGGACGACATTGTCTGTCATTTATGTGTCATGTTGAAATCCACTGGTGCCTCTGTTTGCTTTCCACTAAATTCTCAGAGGAACATCTGGTCCTTCAGATGCTAAATTCTTCAGTATGATTTATAGGTTAGCTGCTTATGGCATCTGTCTGCCACATGGTATTATGCAGGAAGTGAGAAGTGTATTATTGGAGTGTTTATGCTAAAACAACCTGCAATCTAAAACATGAAAAAAACTTAAAGTAAAATTTGATGACAACTATTATTTATAGCAGTTTTAACCACTACTGTATGCTACCAAAACCAACCTTAGTTCATGTTTTAAAAATAATAAACCAAGCCACTAGCTTATAACGTGAAAGCTGCTCAGTGTTTAATTTTTGTTTTCTCCTCTTCTCTTCTGTTCAGAGCTGAAGACCTGAGCTGGCTGCAGATATAACCAGGATTTACGCCTCTCAGCGATGAGTGATGTCATCTCTTGCTTTGGTTTTCTCTCCTTCTGTCTGACATGACATCAATTAATCCACTTTCTGCCTCAGGCTGCCTGGAAACCAGCCAGCCTCTCTTATCTGCTCTTATTAAAGAGCCCTGTTACTATAGTAGCAGTCACAGCTTTATTGAATTCTCTCTTTGTGCACACTGATCTCTTTAATTAGTTTATTTTTATGTTTTTCTGGTTGCTTTACTAAAGGTGTGATGTCTTAGGAAAGTACAGTCTGTAGTTAAGGTTAGCAGGCAACATTAAATTGTGACAAGAAAAATCCCCCACACATCTACTCCACCAGCAGCCTGAATCCCTGGGACAAGACATGAGGGATCTGCGCTTTCATGTTGTTTACGCTAAATTCTGACCCATCTAAACCTCGCAACAGAAATCATCAGACCAGGCAACATTTTACATTCTCTTGTCCATTTTTGATGAGCCGTGTAAACTGAAGCTTCAGTTTCCTTTTCTCAGCTGACAGGAGTGCCACCCAGTGTGGTCCTCTGCTGCTGTAGCCCATCTGCATCAGGGTTTGAGATACTGTGCTCCCAGAGATGCTTTTCTAGATATCTTGATTGTAACCAATGGTTATTTGTTACTGTTACCTTCAGCTTCAGATTGAAGCTGTCTGGTCATTCTCTTCCAACATGAACGAGGCATTTTTACGCTGAGTACTCACTGGATATGTTCTCTTTTTTTAGACCGTTCTCTGTAAACCCTCGAGATTTCTATGTGGGAAAATCCCAGCAGATCAGCAGCTTCTGAAATACTCAGACCAGCCAGTTTGGCACCAACAATCTCATCACATTCAAAGTCACTTAAAGCAGCTTTCTTTCACATTCAGACACTAAGTTTGAACATCAAGAGATAACCAGCTGCTGTGATGTGATTGGATGATTCAATATTTGTACAGTTGAGCAGGTGTACCTAACAAAGTGGCCACTGAGTGCATTTAGATGTTTTTATGAGCTGAAAATGTTAAGACTTTATCAAATTTCTCAGTTACTTAAATGTCTTTCATTTCATACTATACACTCAAAACTTCTTAAACACACACGTCACTACACTTCACATGAGAATACAACATTTACATTTACAAAACACTTTAAAATACTGCCCATGAAAGATAAATAAGATAAAAAGTTTGTTTTTGACCTCTTTTCTTTATGTGTACTGTAGTGCCTTAATACATTATACAACAGAGTTGTAGCTCATGTATTCCTTATGATATGAGAAAGTGTGCGGCATCTTTAAACATGTTTTAGTTCCTTAAAATAAACAACTCCTTTATGGTGGTAAAGATGTTAAACATGTGCGACACTTTTCTGTTTCAACAGCCCTGAATGTTTACGTCATTTCGTATTTAACACTGTCAGCAGCTGCTCGTCATGCATCCACTTCAGTACCTGAATGTTGCTGTTTAAATCCCCTATAATGCAGTCGTTTTATTATGCTGTTGTAAAATTCCATGTCAAATATTAAACACTGGTTATTATGTCATTAAGTATTTTTATTTCCACTTCTGTAAATGTTGTTGTTCACATGGTAATTATGACATCAGCATAAAGAAGCTCAAACTCTGAGTTGATAGTGTTACAGAGAAACATACTTGTTTTCTACAAAAATACATTTTATGTCTAAATATGAAATATGGAGACACGTCACTGGCCACGATCTGTGAGATTATCTACAAGATTCCCCATTAGTTAGTAAAATTATGTCTTCATAAAGCCAAAATTCAAAAATAACATTTCTGTTAAGCCTTCAGATCAGTCACTTGCCTCTTCATTTGCTTGTTTTAGAGCACTGCTTCACGGAGGATCCCAGTTTGTCAGCCAGCAGAAATGGGTTGAGGTGGCAATACTGAGAAGATAAAACTATGTTAATATCATAACTTAAGCACGCTGAAGCGTTAACTCTTTCCCATATCAAAACACCAATTAACAACCTGTACCTTTAATAATCGTTCTGACATCTCAGTCAATATCACTAAAAACGTGATTTGACGACCGCTCAGCTCAGAAAAGAGCTTCAAGAGTTTTTCTTAGTTCGCTCTCAAGGGGTAAAAAGTTAAAATTTAAAAGCATTTTAGCCACAGTGAACTTGTGGTGTTGGATACCTCTGGCGTTGTCTCAGACTTGGACTCCTGTTTATCCAACATCTGGATTTTAAAGTCTGAGGAGAAACGGGAACTCTGGAGGACTGCTGCCATCTCTCCGTTTACCTGCACTGCTACGTCTTTCTGTGTAAGAGGAAAAGAGTTTAATTGGATATATATGTCTTTTTTCTGAAATTAAAAACCATAACACTTCCAGACTAATTATCACCTGTGTTTTTAGAATAAAAGCAGGTTAATAAATGTCTCTGCGTACATGCTGATAAGAGAAAGGGTGCCTTTTATACCTTGAAGCAGTGGGAGGAATCAAAGTCCAGCTGATCTGGGAATTCTGCCAACGTCCCTTTATAGGTCACAGTAGCGTTTGACATCGCTGGACTTCTGGGCAGCTTAAAGAGCCTGTAAGTGCCTGAAGCATAACTGATGTCGCCTACAAAATGAAGAGCTTGCTCAGTTGTGAAATCAGAGTGAATGCTGTCTGAAAATGTGCCTCTTTGTTACCTGCTTTTGCTTTGAGCTCACTGTTGTAGACCACAATGTGGCTCGCTGAGATGAGGTGTGGAGAGCTGAAACCCATGCTGTGGGCCAATGAGATTAGATCGGGCCAAAACAGAGAGCCGCCCATCCCCTCACCTAAGTCAGAGGAGACGGGGACTGAAGAGTTGTCGGTGACGGCAGAGATGGTTGGCTTTGAATTAACTGGATTTAGAAGTAGTGTTTGTTTTACCCCACAGGACTGCGTCTTGCTTCATGTGATCAGGGATGATCTTACTGGCAAACATATCACTGAAGTAAAGCTCACCTCCCTCCTGTATGAAATAAGTGAGTGCACCTTGTATTCCTATATTTCTTTGTGTGTGTGTGACAACATGTTAACATTTATTTGTGTTAATGATGATTCGTCAGGGTAACCTTCAAGACGTTGTAGGCTTGCTGCAGCACCGCTCTTTTATCAGCACATAGACAGATCACACAGTTGGATCTGAAGAGATTACAAAGAGGGGAAAAAACTTTAACAACCAAATTAAAGCTCCTTTTTTTCACCTGACACCCAACACAACTACATCATTTAAACCTACATCACTACATCCATGGAGTCACTCTGAATGCCAGCTTCGTTGAGGTTCTCCATGTAGCCCTGGACAAATGTGACGTTGGGCTCCTTATAGCCAAACTTATCTTGATGATACTGAACATACTGACGAGCTGCTGTGATCTAAAAGAACATGAATTAACTACATCAGGAAGGGGCAGACATCAAAGTGCCATCTGTGCAGAAACCTGTAATTACCAGCTCCTGTGTCATGTCGATCCCAGTCACGTGTCCATTCGGCCCAACCAGTTTACTAAAAGCATAGCAGTCTCTGCCGGAGCCACTGCCGAGATCCAGGACTCTGCAGCCCTCGAGCTTTGCTGGAAATGGAAGACCACAGCCGAAGAACCTGAAGAGAGCCAATAACACCAGTCATTACAGGAAAACCTGTTGTCTCTAATCAGGCAGTACAGAATGATCCCATAAGTGGGAATCTCAAAAATCTGATTGTCTGAGTCTATTCCATGTCAGCTGACCAAATGCTTCCAGCCTGAGCAAAAGTGAAAAGATCAGGATAAGTGGAAGAAAATCTATGGAAAGATGTGGTGTCTGGTAGTAAGATGTCTAAAGTTTGTGATTGTGATGGTGTTTGGCCTTGCTTTTCTTAAATGAAGTTTGGAAAAATTCATATTTGTGTTTTTTTCACTGCTGATATCTGGTAAGAATAAAAACACCTTTAATTGCTTATGATTCCAAAGCGAGATTTCACCTTTTGGTCACCTCAGGGTGAACCTCACTCAGAGCTTCGGTAACACTTCTGGGCGCTGGTCTGCAGGACGATCCGCAGGAGGCGGCACCTGTCTGCAGATCACCCGAGGACTCCAGCCGCTTGCCGTAGTATTTCTGCACAGCCACATTAACAGCTGTCCTCATGCACGTTTATTAAGACAACGTACAGCAAAGTGGACACCGCAAACCTTTCTTTTGCAGAATACATAAAATAACCTGAAAAGAAACGTATTAAAATCAAAAGAAATTCCACTGGTTATAAATTAATCACGCCCGAGCAACTATTCTGCAATGCTCGAATAACTGTGGACAAAATAAAAAAAAATGTCCATAAACTGTGAATGAACAGAAAGCTGAGCAGTGTCTGGGCGACACTCAGGACTAGAGTACCTTCACATTTTCCCGCACGTCCTCACTGGTCGCCATTTCTTCCGAGAAGCTGTCAAAATTACAAAAACTAAATTCAAATGGTGTAAAAATCAGTCAGTGTACTGGTGTGAAAGACGACAGTGGGGTCACGTCCGGCCGTTCTTCCGGTGTGGTCTTTTCACAATAAAGGCGTCATTGTTTATCTGTCGTGACCGGCTTTTTTTGGCGGGGGGTGGCGGCAAAGCAATTCACATTTGTCTTGATGCATTCGCAATCATCCAGGAAAGTAAATCTCCAAAAGTTGATTCTGTTCATCTGGACGTAGCGTTTTGTGGGAGAAACGTTTCGTCACTCATCCAAGTAACTTCTTCAGTCTCCAGACTGTCCTCGGGTGAGACTGAAGAAGTCACTTGGATGAGTGACGAAACGTTTCTCCCACAAAACGCTACGTCCAGTTTAACAGAATCAACTTTTGGAGATTTACATTTGTGTTTGTAGTCCCTAGAGAGGAGTACAAAGGACGGAAGAGAAATGACGAAAGAAATAAATGACTTCAGGTCAGAAATAAAACAAGAAGCAAATAACTGTAATGAAATATTTGGAATGTGATTAAATAATACAACAAATCAGCAAATCATGCTTTTGTTTAAGCAACAAACTTTACAGGATCGCACTCCAACACTGCAGGGGGCAGTAGTGCACCGGAAACGGGATCATACGGGTATTCGCAAAAAATTGCGCTTGTTTAACTTCTACGCATATTTACTGGCGTAAAGCAGATTCTTTACCGGGGTAGAGAAATATCGGACGTAACCGCCGTCTGTGAATACTACTGAAGCTCGTTCATCGTGTGTCCGCCGTCGTGCGTCTATGCAGTTTTGTGTTAGCGCACATCAACCCAACACTGAGGCGGAAAACACGGAGAATAAGAAAGAAATGTTGTACTAGCTGACTGTGTGCGGGTTAAGGCTTTATCCAACGATAAGAAACAGTGGGAGTGAAGTAAGCGAGGTACGTGTTGTTGAATGCATTCTGTTATTGCTTAATTTTACCTCTCACCCAATCGTTAGCCACCGTGCTAGCTTTAGCAGTTGGCTAAGTTGCCGCTTCCTCCACGCTTGGCCTAATTAATAACAGGTGCTGCGGCGTGAAGGACAATGTGTTACATGTAACATAATGTAGCCATTTATGAATGATATCCCGAGTTTACGCTGTTTCTGGACGAGCTAACAACAGTTAAACGCGGGCAAAGTTCGCCTTGCTGTTGCAGTTTTGTGCCATCCGGGAGGCCATGTTAGGCTAACCTAGCTAGCTCATCAACTGTGAGCACGAAGATGTTGAAGCTACACAGATGAGTTAATGTGAAATAAATGCATTTTCTACCGAATTAAGAAGCTAGTTTTTATTTTTGAAAGGCGTTTATGTCCAAGGCCATTCTATTTTCTAGACTTTGCAAGGTATTAAGCACACGCGTTCACTTTGTGGCTTCTGTTATTTAATCTGTGGGTTGCAGGAGCCAGACAAGGAATTCATGTGCCAGTGTAATATGTTTCTGATCAGTTTTTTGTTTCAGTTAAATTAAATGTAATTTGGGTTTTTTGACATGTAACGCCTCTCTCCTCAGGGTTTAGATTATATACAGTTATAATCAAAAACCTCACTTATTTTAATACCTTGGTTTTTGTCTTTGTTTTGGATAGTGAGGCACCATGGCAGCTGCCTTTCCTTACAGAGGGGTCCCTGCAGCGATGCCACCCGGTGTGCCACCAGGGGTACCAACTGCTGTGCCGCCTGGTGTGTCCCTTCCTGCACCTGTCCCAGACTACATGTCTGAGGAGAAATTACAAGAGAAGGGTATGTTGTTTGTATCCACTAAAGCGGGACTTCCATGTTTTGAGCTTTTAGCGAAGATGTTGTCACAAATGGACAAGATTAACTTTGCGATTATTAAATGTCTTTCAACTCTACAGCAAGAAAATGGCAGCAGTTACAGGCAAAGCGCTACTCAGAAAAGAGAAAGTTTGGCTTTGTGGATGCTCAGAAGGAAGATATGCCACCTGAACATGTCCGCAAGATCATCAGGGACCATGGAGACATGACCAATAGAAAGTTTCGCCATGACAAGAGGGTCTACCTTGGGTAAAGATGACTCCTTTATCCCTTTTTAAAAGTCTTAACAAAAGTCGGTGTTTTTTTT